CTCTATGGTTCTCTATGAGTCCCTGGCTCTACGTGGGTCTATGGGTCTCTGTGGGGCATTTGCCGGCATCTTTACATTACTACTACGACGATGATTTCAGCCACTGAGCTTTCATTCCTGATAAGTCAGTGGGGTGGCTTCGGTAAAACAAAGCGCTACTGCATGGCCACTCAGCTGTGGGGGGGGGGGGGGGGGGCTTACACTCCGCGTGCGTGGTTCTTTCGGTAAAGTACATAGAACATAAATGAAAAAAATATATATTAAAAAACTAATACAAAAAATTAAGTGAAAATAATAAAAGCAAAATAAGCCACAGTGGTGGTGGTTTTTTTTGCTTTTATTATTTTCAACATATACTTTTTATCAATATTGTTTTTTTTTTACAATTGATAAAATTTAATTTTTCTATTATTTTTCCATTTTTTTTTAAATTTTCTTTCCACGCGACTTCACCGACAGAAGCAAGGCTACGGATGCCTGCAGTCGCGAAACGTTTCAAGTAAAACACAAAACTTAAAATAAAAAAAAACCCGCAAAAAACCTTACACCCCTTCAACTTTCAAAGAATGCCGTCCCGTTGACGTGCCACCAATGAACCTTCCAACAACTTCACGTGGCCACGTGACGTTGTGGAGGGCTTTTCCACTGCCACTGGAAAGCGTCTGGGCTCGTACGGTATCGATCTTTAAAGGTGCATTGGAAAATGTGGACGCTCCGACTGATGCTCCTGTTGTTGTGGAGTGACTCGTGCATGCCGGCTGTGGCTCTAGGGTTTTGGTGTGGTACATGTTGTTCACGTCGTTTATTGTTTAAAAAAAAAACAATTCGGTCACGGTCCCTATGATCGCTGTTGCATCGCTTTTACGGCTTTTATTTTAGGTGATTTCGAAAGCGGTTTTTTTTTATTGGTTTGGCCCTGTTTCTGTTTGTCGTAGCACGGAGTTGGACTGACGGACTTAATCTAAGTTGGCTTCTAGGGTTGTTGTTGTTGTTGTTTGATTGACTTGAATCCCACTGGGATTTTTTGCACACAGTGTTGGTGTACACGGTGCTTTTTTCAGGAATATTTAGTTGTTATTTTTTTTTCCCCCCCTGGATTTTCTGTTTGCACAGTCACACACATAGTCACTTTAAGATGTTTTTCTTGGTCGTGTTTTTTGGTTTTTTTTGTTTGTTTGTTGTGGGTGCACCCGATTCAAGAGCCGAATGGCTCACAGGGTTATACCCAATAACTGAAAACTGAAACTGAGCTTGAACGATGCAGTCGGTAGAGGAGGGTGACCGCTCGAGTGAGAGCACTCGACGTGGGAAAAATCCAATAATACATTACAGACGGTGCATGCGGCTTTGCTTCTGTGCCTGCGCGTGCCTGCGTGGTGTCTGTGTGTGTCTGTGTGTGTGTGTCTGTGTGTGTCTGTGTGTGTCTGTGTGTGTGTGTGTGTCTGCGTGTCTGTGTGTGTGTCTGTGTGTGTCTGTGTGTGTCTGCGTGTCTGTGTGTGTCTGCGTGTCTGTGTGTGTCTGCGAGTCTGTGTGTGTCTGTGTGTGTCTGCGTGTGTCTGCGTGTCTGTGTGTGTCTGCGTGTCTGTGTGTGTCTATGCGTGTTTGTGTGTGTCTGCGTGTCTGTGTGTGTCTGCGTGTCTGTGTGTGTCTGTGTGTCTGTGCGTGTCTGTGCGTGTGTGCCTGCGTGTATCTGTGTGTCTGCGTGTCTGTGTGTGTCTGCGTGCCTGTGTGTGTCTGTGTGTCTGTGTGTGTGTGTCTGTGTGTCTGTGTGTGTGTCTGCGTGTCTGTGTGTGTCTGCGTGGCTGTGTGTCTGCGTGCCTGTGTGTGTCTGCGTGTCTGTGTGTGTGTCTGCGTGTCTGTGTGTGTCTGCGTGTCTGTGTGTGTGTGTCTGCGTGTCTGTGTGTGTGTCTGTGTATGTCTGTGTGTGTCTGCGTGTCTGTGTGTGTGTGTCTGCGTGTCTGTGTGTCTGCGTGTCTGTGTGTGTGTCTGTGTATGTCTGTGTGTGTCTGCGTGTCTGTGTGTGTGTCTGCGTGTCTGTGTGTGTGTGTCTGCGTGTCTGTGTGTGTCTGCGTGTCTGCGTGTGTCTGCGTGTGTCTGTGGTCGACTCAGCCTCAAATGAGTAGCTGGTGTAGCGGTGTGTAGTAAACATCGCCACTGGGGGAGACAAAGGCGGCCGGGCGTGGTGCTGTCCACCCACCCCCTCGTGTGCCGTGCCGGCCTTCATAGGTGCTGATCGCTAACAGCACTTGCCCCTACAGTCTGTTAAGGCGACACGGGGGTCTTTGTATCTGTGTGCGTGTGTGTGCGTGTGTCTGTAGTGTTGAGGGAGCGGTTAAATTTCGATTTAAAGCTTTCGTGGCTGCAATGATTCATCTTCTTTGGTTCTTTCGGTAAAGTCACGTAGAATGAGAATAAAATAATAAATTGATAAAATAAAATAACACAATAATATTCTCACGACGTTTCGGCCACAACACAAGCGGCCTTCATCAGGTGAAGGGGGCGAGACTGTCTGGTAGGACAGCGCTGGAGTGAGAGAGCCACGTTCAGATCACGGCTTTTAAGCTGTGTGAGAGGAACAAAGAGCCTTGACACAGGAATTAGCTAATCATTCAGCCATTTCAATGCTAAATTTTATGCTAATTCCTGTGTCAAGGCTCTTTGTTCCTCTCACACAGCTTAAAAGCCGTGATCTGAACGTGGCTCTCTCACTCCAGCGCTGTCCTACCAGACAGTCTCGCCCCCTTCACCTGATGAAGGCCGCTTGTGTTGTGGCCGAAACGTCGTGAGAATATTATTGTGTTATTTTATTTTATCAATTTATTATTTTATTCTCATTCTACGTGACTTTACCGAAAGAACCAAAGAAGTTGAGGGAGCGGTGTTTGCGTGTTTGTGTGTGCGTGTCTGTGTCTGTGTGTGCTCGTCTCTTTGTGTGCGTGTCTCTGTGTGCGTGTCTGTGCGCGTATCTGTGTGCGTGTCTCTGTGTGTGTCTGTGTATGCTTGTCTCTGTGTGTGCGCGTCTCTGTGTGCGTGTGTGCGTGCCTTGACACAGTGTGTGCGTGCCTTGACACAGTGTGCGTATCTGTGGGCGTGTGTGTGCGTGTCTGTGTGTGTGCGTGTCTGTGTGTGTTTGTCTGTGTGCGTCTGTCTGTCTGTGTGTGTGCGCGTGTCTGTGTGTGTCTATGTGTGTGCGTGTCTCTGTGTGCGTGCTTGTGTGTGTGTCTCTGTGTGTGTGTCTATGTGTGTGTGTGTCTCTGTGTGTGCGTGTCTCTGTTTGTGTGTGTCTCTGTGTGCGTGTGTCTATGTGTGTGTGTCTCTGTGTGTGCGTGTCTCTGTGTTTGTGTGTGTCTCTGTGTGCGTGTGTGCGTGTGTGTGTGTCTGTGTGTGTGTGTCTATGTGTGTGTGTCTGTGTGTGCGTGTCTCTGTGTTTGTGTGTGTGTCTGTGTGTGTGTGTTTATGTGTGTCTCTGTGTGTGCGTGTCTCTGTGTTTGTGTGTGTGTCTGTGTGTGTGTTTATGTGTGTCTCTGTGTGTGCGTGTCTCTGTGTTTGTGTGTGTGTCTGTGTGTGTGTATGTGTGTCCATGTGCGTGTGCCTGTCTGTGTACGTGTGTCTCTCTGTGTGCGTGTCTCTGTGTTTGTGTGTGTCTCTGTGTGCGTGTGTGCGTGCGTGTGTGTGTGTCTGTGTGTGTGTCTATGTGTGTGTGGCTATGTGTGTGTGTCTCTGTGTGTGCGTGTCTCTGTGTTTGTGTGTGTGTCTGTGTGTGTGTGTTTATGTGTGTGTGTCTCTGTGTTTGTGTGTCTGTGTGTGTCTGTGTGCGTATGCCTGTCTGAGTGCGTGTGCCTGTCTGTGTGCGTGTGTGTCTGCGTCTTTGTTGCACGCCTGCCTATAGCGAGTTGCCTTCCTGCTGGTCCACGAGACTCAAGCAGTGTTTGTGTGACGTACGCGCCCATCAGTCATTGGGAATTTTGTTTCTTCCATGTTTGGTGCGTGACGTATCTCGTCCTCCTTCTCTCTCTCTCTCGCCTCAAGTATGCGATTACTCCACGGGGGAGTCTCGGGGGTTGGAGTGTTTGGTGATCTGTGTGTGTGTGTGCGTGTGTGTGGAGGAGGCTCGCGAAGGACGCTGCTGCTGCTGTTGCTGCTGGGGCAGTCCGAGGCAGTCGCCCTCCAGCAACAATCACGGAGGGCAGAGGAGCGACGCTCTCACAACAACGAGCGGATCGACCGGGGCGGGTAAAATACGGCAAGTCGGCGCAGTTAGGGGGGTACAGCTGGTGGTGCATCTACCGGTGGTCATCTCAGTCGGCCGACCCATGTCACCTGCTGGGTCTGTCCCGAGACCTCGTGCACCTAGACTGGCACAGTAGGGGGGTACAGCTGGTGGTGCATCTACCAGTAATCTCAGTCAGCCAAACCATGGCACTTGGGTCTGGTCCCGACACCTCCTGCACCTAGCCTGGCACAGTGGTTAACCCATGGCACCTGCTGGGTCTGTCCCGAGACCTCCTGCACCTAGCCTGGCACAGTAGTGGGGTACAGCTGGTGGTGCATCTACCGGTCATCTCATTTGGTCGACCCATGGCACCTGCTGGGTCTGTCCCGAGACCTCCTGCACCTAGCCTGGCACAGCAGGGGGGTACAGCTGGTGGTGCATCTACCGGTCATCTCATTCAGTCAACCCATGGCACATGCTGGGTCTGTCCCGACACCTCCTGCACCTAGCCTGGCACCGTAGGGCGGTACAGCTGGTGGTGAATCTACCGGTAATCTCAGTCGGTCAACCCATGGCACCTGTCGGGTCTGTCCCGACACCTCCTGCACCTAGCCTGGCACAGTGGTTAACCCGTGGCACCTGCTGGCTCTGGACCCGACAACCTCCTGCACCTAGCCTGGCACCGTAGGGCGGTACAGCTGTTCTGTCCGCGAGGGTACGCGCGAGCACGTGCCCGCGGGCGGCGCGTGGCGGTCTGTGCGACGAGGTGACGTGTGTCCATCACCTCCTCCGTTCTTGTAGGCCAGGTAGGGGAAGCGCCACACGTTGCCCAACCCCACGGCGTAGCCCACCATGGAGAGGAGGTACTCGGCCTTGGAGTTCCACGTCCCGCGCTCCGGCAGTGCCCCCGGGGAATCCGCAGCGGCCTGGGATGTCGCCCCAGAGGCCTGGGTGGAACAGGAGAACGAATGAACGGACGGGCGGACGGACGGACGGGGCGAACGAGCGGACGAATGAATGGATGGACGAATGAATGAACGGGCGAATGAACGGAAAGAAGAAGTAACGAATGAACGGACGAATGAACGGACCAATGAACCGACGAATGAATGAACGGGGGAATGAACGGAAGAACGAAGGGGCGAATGGATGAACGCGTGAATGAACGGACGGGCGAACGAGCGGACGAATGAATGGATGGACGAATGAATGAGCGGGCGAATGAACGGAAGAGCAATTAACGAATGAACGGACCAATGAACGGACGAATGAATGAACGGACGAATGAATGAACGGATGAACGAACCGACGAATGAATGAACGGGCGAATGAACGGAAGAACGAAGGGGCGAATGGATGGACGCGTGAATGAATGGACGAATGAATGGACGAGCGGACAAACGAATAGAACGGACGGACGGGCCGAACGAGCGGACGAATGAATGAATGGACGAATGAATGAACGGGCGAATGAACGGTAGAACAATTAACGAATGAACGGACGAAGGAACGGATCAATGGACGGACGACTGAATGAACGGATGGAATGAACGGTTGAACGAACCGACGAATGAATGAACGGAAGAACGAAGGGGCGAATGGATGAACGCGTGAATGAATGGACGAATGAATGGACGAGCGGACAAACGAATGAACGGACGGACGAATGAATGAACGGGTGAATGAATGGAAGAACAATTAACGAATGAACGGACGAATGAACGGACCAATGAACGGGCGAATGAATGAACGTATGGAATGAACGGATGGACGAACCGACGAATGAATGAACGGGCGAATGAACGGAGGAACGAAGGGGCGAATGGATGAACGCGTGAATGAATGGACGAATGAATGGACGAGCGGACAAACGAATAGAACGGACGGACGGGCCGAACGAGCGGACGAATGAATGAATGGACGAATGAATGAACGGGCGAATGAACGGAAGAACAATTAACGAATGAACGGAAGGAGGAACGTACCAATGGACGGACGACTGAATGAACGGATGGAATGAACGGATGGACGAACCGACGAATGAATGAACGGAAGAACGAAGGGGCGAATGGATGAACGCGTGAATGAATGGACGAGTGGACAAACGAATGAACGGACGGACGAATGAATGTACGAATGAACGAACCAACGGACGGGAGTGGTTGCATTTGTTGTTGATATGCGCACGCGATTTATCCACACGGTAGAAGACAATTTTTGCAGCATCTATTATATATATGAAAACATTATAGCCATACATTTTATATACGTTAAAAATGTAATATATAAATAGTTATACATGAATGATCGAATATATAATTATATATATCTGCATATATTTCGGGCAATGCCCCCTTTACTTTGTAAAAGATAACGAACCTTAATGGGGCTATCGGATTGTTAAATACAGGGACACCAATCACTGCGCTGTATAGATAACGAATCTCAATAGGGCTATCAGATGATTAAATACAGGAACACCAATCGATATGGGGTATAGATAGCGAATCTCAACGGGGTCATCGTATGGCTGAATAGAGGATCACTACGGGGTATAGATAGCGAATCTCAACGGAGTCATCATATGGTTAAATAAAGGATTACTACGGTTTATAGATAGCGAATCTCAACGGGGTCATCGGATGGTTGAATAGAGGATCACTACGGGGTATAGATAGCGAATCTCAGCGGGGTCATCGAATGGTTACATAAAGGATCACTACGGTTTATAGATAGCGATTCTCAACGGGGTCATCGAGTGGTTGAATAGAGGATCACTGCGGGGTATAGATAGCGAATCTCAACGGGGCCATCGGATGGTCACATAAAGGATCACTACGGGGTATAGATAGCGAATCTCAACGGGGTCATCGGATGGTAAATAAAGGATCGCTACGGGGTATAGATAGCGAATCTCAGCGGGGTCATTGGGTGGTTGAAAAGAGGATCACTACGGGGTATAGATAGCGAATCTCAACGGGGTCATCGGATGGTTACATAAAGGATCACTACGGGGTATAGATAGCGAATCTCAACGGGGTCATTGGGTGGTTGAAAAGAGGATCACTACGGGGTATAGATAGCGAATCTCAACGGGGCCATCGGATGGTCACATAAAGGATCACTACCGGGTATAGATAGTGAATCTCAACGGGGTCATCGGATGGTAAATAAAGGATCGCTACGGGGTACAGATAGCGAATCTCAACGGGGTCATCGGATGGTTGATTAAAGAATCGCTACGGGGTACAGATAGCGAATCTCAACGGGGCCATCGGGTGGTAAATAAAGTATCACTACGGGGTACAGATAGCGAATCTCAACGGGGCCATCGGATGGTTGATTAAAGGATCACTACAGTGTATAGATAGCGAATCTCAGCGGGGTCATCGCATGGTTGAATAGAGGATCACTACGGTGTATAGATAGCGATTCTCAACGGGGTCATCGGATGGTAAATAAAGGATCGCTACGGGGTACAGATAGTGAATCTCTACGGGGCCATCGGATGGTTGATTAAAGGATCACTACGGTGTATAGATAGCGAATCTCAACGGGGTCATCGAATGGTTGATTAAAGGATCACTATGGGGTACAGATAGCGAATCTCAACGGGGCCATCGTATGGTTGAACAAAGGATCGCTACGGGGTATAGATAGCGAATCTCAACGGGGCCATCAGATGTTTGAATAAACAGCGACGCCGCTTACCTCCCCTTTCTCTTCATCTTGGAGGTAGGCCATGTTGTCACCACCGACTCCGTTCAGATCTTGAGACTTTTTCCCCATTGTTTTCACGTTAATATATTGTCGCGTTTTTATATGTGTACATAGGTGTGTTCGCGCGTGTAAGTTAAACACGGCGGCTTGCTGAGAGATAAAAGTTTAAGACGCTCGGAAAAAAAATAATCCGCACCGCCTACCTGCCTATAACGATCACTACAAAGATAAAGGTCCCCCGTGTAGCCTCTATCAGGACTGTTGGGGCAAGTGCTGTTAGTAGTAGCGAGTAGCAGCAGCGCCTACACACAGACAAAGATCCCCCGTGTAGCCTCTAACAGGCTGTTGGGGCAAGTGGCTGTGAGTAGTAGCGAGTAACAGCAGCGCCTATACACAGACAAACATCCCCCTTGTAGCCTCTAACAGACTGCTGGGGCAAGTGGCTGTGAGTAGCGAGTGGCAGCAGCAGCAGCACCTATTAGGGCACTGTGGCACACACGGGAGAGAGATGGAGGGGTGGGTAGGCAGCAAACCACCAGGCACGACCCTGCCGCCTTTGTCTCTCCCGTGGTGGTGCTGTTCACTGGAAGATTCGCGGATGAGTGGACCTTAGAACGCGCCTACACTTAAACCTACCTACTTACCAACCTACCCAACCAACCTACCTACGAACCTACCTACCTACCAACCACCCGGCTGCCCGAACTTTTCCCCCGTTTTGAAGTCCAGCTGGACAAAAAAAAATAAAATCATCAGCGCATCGTCACGCGGGAGAGAGCGAAACGGAGCTCGATCTTCACGCGTCGCCCGGATGAATAATGCGAAAAAATAATAGGAAATAATCTGATCCGCCTCCCGATCAAAATCTATTGCAGCTGCCTTAACGCCGAATCAAAATCGCCCGATGGTGAATTACTGCGAGATCCGACTGAGATCTTCGATACGTGCTGAAGATGCTGTGGTGATGTGAATAGCAGCAGCGGTGTTGGTGGTATATCTACGAGTGCTACGTGTAAAACCTATAATGGTTATTAATCACTCGCCAAGTCGACTTTCAACTGAGCCCAACATTCCATAGGTGCCTCCTTTAAATACCCCCGGGCTGCCCGCGCGCTCATTGGCTGAGAGGGCCCGTTAGTGCGTGACGTCAACAGGTTAATTACCTCACCGGGTGGAAATACCGCGGTCACCCCCCACCCCGCATCAATTCATTCACTGGGAAACCCGTAGACTCACACAGAGACTCACACAGAGACCCATAGACTCACATAAAGACTCACACAGAGACCCATAGACTCACATAGAGACTTACACAGAGACCCATAGACTCACATAGAGACTCACACAGAGACCCATAGACCCACATAGAGACTCACACAGAGACCCGTAGACTCACACAGAGACTCACACAGAGACCCATAGACTCACATAGAAACTCACACAGAGACCCATAGACTCACACAGAGACCAATAGACTCACACAGAGACTCACACAGAGACCCATAGACTCACATAAAGACTCACACAGAGACCCATAGACTCGCACAGAGACCCGTAGACTCGCACAGAGACCCATAGACCCACATAGAGACTCACACAGAGACCCATAGACTCACACAGAGACTCACACAGAGACCCATAGACTCACACAGAGACCCATAGACTCGCACAGAGACCCATAGACTCACACAGAGACTCACACAAAGACACAGACTCACACAGAGACCCACAGACTCACACAGAGACCCATAGACTCACCCAGATACACATAGACTCACACAGAGACCCATAGCCTCACACAGAGACTCGCACAGAGACCCATAGACTCACACAGAGACCCACAAAGACCCATATATTCACACAGAGACTCACACAGAGACCCACAGACTCGCACAGAGACCCATAGACTCACACAGGGACTCACACAGAGACACATAGACTCACACAGAGACCCACAGACACACACAGAGACCCACAGACTCACACAGAGACCCATAAACTCACACTGAGACGCACAGACTCACACAGAGACCCATAGACTCGCACAGAGACCCGTAGACTCACACAGAGACCCATAGACTCACACAGAGACCCATAGACCCACATAGAGACTCACACAGAGACCCATAGACTCACACAGAGACTCACACAGAGACCCGTAGACTCACACAGAGACCCATAGACTCGCACAGAGGCCCATAGACTCACACAGAGACTCACACAGAGACCCATAGACTCACCCAGATACACATAGACTCACACAGTGACCCATAGCCTCACACAGAGACCCATAGACGCACACAGAGACTCACACAGAGACCCATAGACTCACACAGAAACCCATAGACTCACAAAGAGACTCATAAACTCACACAGATACCCATAGACTCACACAGAGACCCATAGTCTCACACAGAGACCCAAAAAGACCCATATATTTACACAGGGACTCACACAGAGGCCCATAGACTCACACAGAGACCCATATACTCGCACAGAGACTCACACAGAGACACATAGACTCAAACAGAGACCCACCGACTCACACAGAGACCCATAGACTCACACAGAGACTCACACAGAGACCCATAGACTCACACAGAAGACAGAAACCCATACACTCACACAGAGACTCACATAGAGACCCATAGACTCACACAGAGACCCATAGACTCACGCAGAGACACATAGACTCACACAGAGACCCATAGACTCACACAGAGACCCATAGACTCACACAGAGACTCACACAGAGACCCATAGACTCACACAGAGACCCATAGACTCACACAGAGACTCACACAGAGACCCATAGACTCACACTTAGACCCATAGACTCACACAGAGACCCATAGACTCACACAGAGACCCATAGTCTCACGCAGAGACACGTAGACAACCAGTCCGTCTTAGTTAATGGTTATCTTTTCTAAATTCATATAGCAGAGCCATTATCCAAAGGTGCTTTATAGCTGATTATAAACCAGTATACGAGGAGATTGCGGCAGAGATAATACAGCGTGATGGGGTCGTTATTACTAATAAAAGTGGTGGTGGTAGTGGTGGTGGTGATGGTGGTGGTGATGGTGGTGGTGATGGTGGTGGTGATGGTGATGGTAGTGATGGTGGTGGCGATAGGGGTAGTGATAAGGGTAGTGATGGGGGTAGTGATAGGGGGTAGTGATAGGGGTAGTGGTAGGGGTAGTGATAGGGGTAGTGGTAGGGGTAGTGATAGAGGTAGTGGTAGGGGTAGTGATAGGGGTAGCGGTAGAGGTAGTGATATGGGTAGTGGTAGTGATGGGGGGTAGTGATAGTGGTAGTGATAGAGGTAGTGATAGGGTTAGTGATAGGGTTAGTGATAGGGGTAGTGGTAGGGGTAGTGGTAGGGGTAGTGATAGGGGCTAGTGATAGGGGCTAGTGATAGGAGTAGTGATAGGGGTATTGATAGGGGTAGTGGTAGGGGTAGTGGTAGGGGTAGTGATAGGGGTAGTGATAGGGGGTAGTGATAGGGGCTAGTGATAGGGGTAGTGATAGGGGTAGTGATAGGGGCTAGTGATAGGGGGTAGTGATAGGGGTAGTGATAGGGGTAGTGATAGGGGGTAGTGATAGGGGTAGTGATAGGGGTAGTGGTAGGGGTAGTGGTGGGGGTTGTACAATGAAAAACCCCTCCCACAGTATCGTTTGAAATAATACACATTGCTTAGGTCGCATTCGCATTAATCATTGCTAGCGGTGGGCGCGTGTGTATTGTCAAAGTGTGGGTTTGCGTGGACTCGACAGAACCATGCGTGTTAAGGAGATGAGATCTTCCCGGAAAGGATGATGAGGGTGGTGGTGATGGTGGTGATGACCTCCCCTGGCTAGGTGTTTGTTGACAGAGCTGAGCCTGGTCATAAGCGCCACGGTTTGCCATTAACCCGTCTGGGTGACCCATTAATTTGGGCTTTAGCGATGATAACCAGCTCATTTGACTAAGTGTGTGTGTGCGCGCGTGTGTGTACGTGTGCGTGTACGTGTGTGTGCGTGTGTGCGCGTACGTGTGTGTGCGTGCGTGTGTATGCGTGTGTGTGTGTGTGCGTGTGTGTGTGCGCGTCTGTGTGCGTGTGTATGTGTGCGTGTGTATGTGTGTGCGTGTGTGTGTGTACGTGTGTGTACGTGTGTGTACGCGTGTACGTGTGTGTACGTGTGTGTGTACGTATGCGTGTGTGTGCGCGCATGCGTTTGTGTACGTGTGTGTGTGTGTGCGTACGTGTGTGTGTGTACGTGTGCGTGTGCACGTATGAGTGCGTGTGTGTATTGTACGTGTGTGTATGTGTACGTGTGTGTGCGCTTGTGTCCGTGTGTGTGCGTGTGTGTGTGCGTTTGTGTGTGTATGCGTGTGTGTATGCGCGTCTGTGTGTGCGTGTGTACGTGTGTGCGTGTGTGTGTGTATGCGTGTGTGTGTGCGCGTGTGTGTGTGTGTGGGGAGCGGTAGTGTAGCGGTTAGCGCGCTGCGCTATGAACCTGGCGACCAGGGTTCGATTCCCACTCACGGCCAACACCAGTGACGATTATCTGAACCGGTCCCGGGCCTCCCCTAGGTCGACTCAGCCTCAAATGAGTACCTGGTGCGGTGTGTAAACATCGCCACTAGGGAGACAAAGGCGGTCGGGCGTGGTGCTGGCCACCCACCCCCTCGTGTACCGTTCCGGCCTTCATAGGTGCTCGCTAACAGCACTTGCTCCTACAGTCTGTTAAGGCTATATGGGGGATCTTTGTGTGTGTGCGTGTGTGCGTGTGCGTGTGTGCGTGTGTGTGTGCGTGCGTGTGTGTGTGTGTGCGTGTGTGTGTGTGTGCGTGTGTGTGTGTGCGTGCGTGTGTGTGTGTGCGTGCGTGTGTGTGTGTGTCTGTGTGTGCGTGTCTGTGTGTGCGTGTCTGTGCGTGTGTGTCTGTGCGTGTGTGTCTGTGCGTGTGTGTGTGCGTGTGTGTGTGGTGAGCGGTAGTGTAGCGGTTTATCCGTACTCTGCGCTACGAACCCGGGCCAACACCACCAGTGACGATTATCTGAACCGGTCCTGGGCCTCCCTTGGGTCGACTCAGCCTCAAATGAGTAACCTGGTGCCGTGGAGAGACACGGTTCGACCGGGCGTGGTGCTGGCCACCCACCCCCTCGCGTGCCACAGCCAGTCTGTTAGATGCTCTACAATGGGGCTCTTTGTCTCTTTGTGTGTCTGTTTGCGATAATTTGTTCGCCTCAGCTTTAACGTCACCAGTGTGGAGAGAGACAAAGGCGGCCGGGCGTGGTCCTGGCCATTAGCGGGTGCGCTCCCTGGCTGTGGGAACTTTT